ACACACACACACACACACACACACACACACACACACACACACACACACACACACACACACACACTGCCTGGATCTGTTCAAAGCCCCGCTGTACAGACTGTGACATGCCATTAAAATAAAATAAGAATAAAAAAAATGCCGGGAAACGACCTGAAACGCTCCGCTCACATAAAGCCCCCTGCGATCACACATCTGTTTGCTACCAGTACTTACAATTTCACCATGTATGCACAGCGAGAAGAGGTAATTCTTTGCCTTGATTACATCCGATGGAACATAAGGCTTTTTTTTTCCCTCCTCCGACCGGCTGCTTCAAGTCAGTGCGCATGCGCGCTCGCTTTAACTCGCAGTAGTCAGAGAGTGAAGCTGGATGATGGCACAGGGCTGCCTGCCTGCCTTCRTCATGTCTGAATGAGTTCAGGAGCTTTACAGGCTATCTAAGTGTTTTCCTGTTTGTTTTATTTAAAAAAAACTCAATCAAGAGATTCGTTTTGTAACATTTATGCTTTTCAAAGAATTTGATTTTATATATCATTCTTTTCTGCGTGAAAATGCATGTGTAGGGCTATATTTTCAATTTTTCTTATTAAGCTTTTAGTTTTTAGCTACTATTCAGCTACTTTCGACTTTTAGATCACCTTTTGCCCTTTTAACATTTTAACTAACGTTTTACATCTTTTAATACTAGCTCAAATATACTTTTAAATATAACTTAACTAGTTATTTTTAGCTATTTGTGCTTCTATATGCTGTTGTGTTTGTTTTAACCTTTAACTAACCATTTTCTACATTTAATTTTTAACTAGATTTTTGCTTCTGTCATCTATTAATTTAATACTTTTAGCTAATCTTTTTTAACTTTGATATTTTTTAGTTTTAGCTTTAAGCTGACATTTCTGTATTTTTGGCCTTTAGCTATAACATTTTTGTTTCTTTTAGCTTTTACTCTCCTCTTAGCTTTTAGTTAATGTTCTTCTAATGTCTTTTTAACTTATTGTTTGGCTAGTTTTAGCTTTGAGCCGGCATTTTGGCATTTAGCCTTTTGCTTCTTTTAACATTCTCCTTTGAGCTTTTAGCTAATATTCTGCTTTTAAAACCTTTCTTTAGTGTTGCACTTTAAGAACTCAGTTTCAACTTCTTCAGCAAAATCATTGCGTAATAATTTTTCACGGTTTAGTTTATTCTAGCAAAGAGGAGCGATACAAAACGAAATTCTAAAAACTAGAAAATATCTATTCTCAGAGTTCTTGGAATTTTAAATAAATGACATTGGTAAAATATATGAGGGGAAAAATGATTTTGTGGATCAGAACCTCAGTAAATCTGTCCTGTCCTTGAAGTCGCTGTCTGTGGTGCTGAAACAAGCAAGCCTGGATTCAGCTCAGCACACGAGTGGTGCTTTTAAGCTTCTGTTATCTTGAAGGTTTTCATTGGAAACTATAATATAAAAATCAAACATTAAAAAGGCTATCTTTAACTGTATCAAATGGTGCAGTCTGAAACAGTTTACTCCAGTAGCTTTCCAGGTGCACTATACTGAATGCAATTATGAAATGCAGGCATGCACTCACCTAAACAAAGCTTGGCTAAAAACCAAAAAAGGTTAAAAACAAAAACAACTGGACTTCTATGAACCTGAAGGTGTTTCTCTTCACATCTCTTGATTGCTTTCTCAATTCAAAAGTGATTATATTTAGATTAATTATGATCTGATCTGAGACAAAAACTATGTAGAAGTTTTTGACCTACATTAGACTGCCTTTAGTCTGTGTTGCAAATATGGTATCAGACAATTGTAAAATKTCAGAGAAGTTTATGTGGAAATATGAGTGAAAGAATGAGTGAATTTTACTTTATTAATCTTTTTGAAAGGTCGTCACAACTTTGAAATGATTTTATTTAAATGGGCTTAAAATATACAGGACAGTATTGTGCAAAAGTCTCAAGTCATTCCTAGACCTTGTAAAGATGACTTTACTAATAGAGCTTCAGTCTTTCTGAGAGTCTTTCAGAGTTTTTGGTTCTTTTCTGTGTTTTCACTCATTTTCAGTTCAGTACTTGAACATTCCAAAGGAAAGTTCTTTCTTAGGTTTGTTTTGTTAAGGCACAAAACTCTGACCTCTATGACTCAATAACAGGAAAAAAAATGCTCCTAAAATCAAGGGTTTAACCAGAGCTGTGGCAACACACAACAGACAACTTAGAAAGAATTTTGAATTGAATCGAATGATGAATTCCTCAGATTCTGTCAGATTTTATTTATTTATTTATTTAGATGATTTGTCCTCATTTTTAGTGCCAAATTGCACAAAATATTGTCATGGTTGGGTACAAGTACTGGAC